CATAAGGAATTGACTGTTTTAAGTATATGATTTGATATTTAGGTAGTTGAACACACGTGTGTTTTTCACGTATAAGTTTATTTATTTCAGTCAACATGTTTTAAGTGAGGACGTGTTTCACCGTTATATAGAAGATGGCAAGTTGTACACAAAACGGCTGTTACAAAAAACCAACAGACTTCCAAAGTGGGGAGAAAAAATTATTGGAGCTTCATGTAGATCTGTGTTTGTTGTTGAAGAATCTGTTGTTGACCCTAAAAACAAAATTGTTACAACTTACACAAGAAATGTTGGAATGACTTCTGTTATGGTAAGTGTATACGGTATGTACAAAGTAGAGACTGTATATTGGTAGTTTGATTTAAAATCATGGAATATGTTTGAATACGTGTACAGAAATCTGTTTCAAATGGTTTTACAGCCACTTTTTTGTTGCTTTTTCTTTAATTGTCCTTCCTAAAATGTAAGTGTTTATTACAGCATTTGTTAAAGGAAAATAAGATGATGATATTAACTTGGGGGCTATCTGTACATTTTATATCTTCAAAACATAAGACAAATACTAGATTGAGTCAAAATTAACAACCATAATTAAAAAAAACATGGGTAATAATAGAACAGTTGAATTGACCATATTTCACATTGGATTCCTCTGTCTGATCATATGTTTCTTTGATTTGCTGGGTTAATTTGTCCTGAACCCTAATTTGTCAGATTGGCGTAGTGGTTGTCGTACAAGATTAGACATATTGCCGAGCACACCCAGTTCTTTTGGGTTTATATTTGTTTCAGTCAATTTTGGTGTTAGGTTAAGAGCAGCCACTTGGACATCAGTTGATACTGATTGGCTGCCCCATTTTTTGGCAGCATGTTTAATTTTTACTAGTGTAATAGGTTTTGTTATGGCATTCATATGGGCATGTGACCAATCTCAAGGTAAAATTATCAACTTAAATTATAAGTATTAATTACCTCCCCTAGTGATCTATATTTTCTTAATCTGCTCTATAATTAGGAGTAAGTACCTCATCACGAGTAGTTTCATAGGATGGATGGTACATGTAGGTTTAAATGCAGGTATGAACTCTCATTTCAAGTTCTTAATTCTTATGTGTGTGCTTCTAAATAGAGAGTAAATCTCGCAACTCCTCGCATATCATCTGCGTAGTTCTTAACTACTGTACAATGTTTTTAGCCTAGTTGTTAGAAGTTTTACTCACCATCACCATTGGTGCATTTCTTTTTTTTTTTGAGTAAAAGAAAAGTTCCTTTACACAATATATAATCATTAACAATAACAAAAATTGATACCAGTTCTTTGGCTTGCGTGTATGTGGAGATGTGTCTATGTGCATTTTAGAAATTGTCATTATTAGTTTATACAAATGTACGTATAAATTCCTGCTGAAGCAATGACTTAAGTAGTAATTATTTATGTATGTGTGTGTGTGTGTATACAAGTTTATGCATATAATTCTTTCTAAAGTGTTGACTTGAGAAGTTGTAATTATTAATGTATGTATGTAAATATATGTATAAATTCCTGCTAAAATGATGACTTAGGAAGATATGTAAAGTATTTCAACCTTGTTTAGTCAGCTTACATTCATCGTTTCAATTACTTTTATGTAAGCTCTATTATTCACAGTATAGTATTGTATCTTTTAAAGATCCTGTTCTTAATATGCTAATGAGTTTGACTGAAACGTATTAAGTATACTTTGTAATATCAGTTTTCTTGCACGTACATTTTAAGGTAGTGGAAGAGAAATGTGTATACAGACCCTCGAAAGAAAACTTAAGGTGGACGGCTATCGTTCGGCAAGCTTGGGTGAGTTCTTCCGTCTTTGGGTTTCGACGAGCAATTCAGGCCTTTGGTGTGGAGAGATTTAAGCAGAATGCCAGCAAAGCATTCCGGGGCTACCAATATGTCTTGGAGCACATGTTCCAGTCTGGTATTCAACAGGAGACAGGCACGGCCTTATTTGTTGACAAAGACAGACTTCGGGAAAGAGCGAAACAGGCAACTAAATTTGCCAAATCTAAAACTGTTCCTATTGTTGCTCAATGTGCCACTAATGGCCAATGATCATCAGACATTCAGGATGAGGATTATTGAATTTAAGGATTGAAGGTTTCATGAGAAAGAAGAGATGAAACAGTCTATGACCAAGCTAATTTTTGCTAGATATTTACAAAATTAATTTTCGTAGAATGTTTTTCTTTTCAATTGGCCAAGTAATAAGCAGTAGTTCAAACATGCATATACTAGGTACCTACATAACTGCATACACAACGATTACATTACACACATACCCATTCATCGTGGTTTGTAGAACAGGATAAGTATGGTAATGTTCACATCGTGTTTTGTTCTTTTAATTTTGAAAATATTCACAATTACTTGGGACGTACTAACTTAAGCATAAGTCTTACTCAGAAGCTTCTAAATTGAAGTAATGTAGAGAAGTACATAGATCTTGAATTTATTGGAAACAAAACTCCTCACATTAAGACATTTCATACAAACATAAAATGGTTATGTTACTGGGTCACTAAAACAAGTTCCTTCAGTAAATAATAAGCAATCTTACTAACATCAGAATACTCTGATGGGTGGTAATCAGTTAGATTTTTTTAAAAAAATCATTTGAACATCATATTAATTTACTTTGTTATTGAGGTGATGTACTTGTTTAGAAAAATTCAAAAGTGTAGATACAAATTGCATTCTTATGTCTTATTAAAATGAAGCATTAAAGGGAAAATCACGTGAATTAGGACTGTTTATCTAATAAAAATATGAAACATAACTGCTGATACATAATATAGTAGAGAAAATACAAGATAAAAAAGTCCAGCTTATTTGTATCGAACTATCTTCAGCTCATTGATGTGTTCATTTGGAAACTGGTATAATGTGTGTGTTTCTCAATAATTGCTAAGACTATGTAAAGTTGATTAGTTAGTTCACAATTGTGCATGAATAGTTTTGTAACTTGCCGGTGTAATTTGTTGGGTTTTTTTAATTCGAACTCCTATCAGTGGTGAGAATATTATTTTGAATAAATACTGGTCAGTTAAGTTACATTCTAAATGCTTGTCTTCTTTAAATGGTCTCTGAATGAGAGAGTTTCCTGTAAATGTGGAAAACTTAAAAGTCATTACATACAGAACTTATAAACTTAAAGATTTATGTATATTCTACATGACTAACTATAGCTTTAGGCCTACATCAGGTTACAGCAACATCTGGTACTGACCTATCCTGAAACCAGTCATCATATACATGTTTTTTTTATTATTATTATTATTCCATATGTAATAGTTTTTACTTTATAAATTCTGTAATAGATAAGGTGCCACTCCATAAACCTTACATAAATGGATCATAAGTGCTGCCATCTAGTAATTTCCAAACTTAATTAAAAATCTTTGTAGCACAGCCAGGATAGTTTTTAGCATTTTAATGCAATTGTAATATAGTTGAAATTACTAAAGAATGTCTTAGATTAATTATTATTAATGTATACATTATATTTGCTTGTATAAACAAGTATTTGGTGTTTAGCATAATCCAGGTATTGAGAACAAACTAAAAAATTATGAAAACTGAAACCTTTCAGTGAATACAAATGCATAATGTGATGTTTAGCTGTATTTATTAATACAAAAATAAAGTTATATTTCATAACTATGCATAAGTTCTAAGGGTAAATACACCCATCTAAATATTGTAAAACATACAAATGCATCGGTTTCATAATCTTTTTATTGCTTTTGCCTGTTGTCACATTGACATCCAGGGCATGACACAATTGTATTTTCATGTAAAATATTTTGTGGATTTTTTTCAATCCATTTGACTTGTCCAATAATTGTGGTATTTAATACATAATCTCTGAGACACAATTTTCATGTACACAACATATGGAGATACATTTTCAAAACAAGTCCCCAAACCAGATGATGAATTAGCACAAGAAGCGTTTTTTGCTTGCCTAATCCTTTTGTCTCTCTACAATGAGCAGCTAGCTCTACCTCACAGGTTTATCAACCATTAACTAGTATTTTCTTAAGGAAGTAAACAGTAAAGTTAATTTGAGGCACTCTTGTTTTTTATTTTTGATTCTGGAAAACTGTCCTAGTCTGTATCATCAATAACAATAAAATATTATGCAGTATATGCTTTTGTTTAAAAGTTTAGGAATTCAGCAGCAAGGCAGGGCTTTCTTGGCAGGCAAGAGCTTTTGATGACTGTTATCTTTAGTGGGCTTGGAACAGGAAATATTGTAGGAACAGCATTTCATACTAATTTGTCATGTGGTGCATTCTGTCCTCAAAACAAAGAACACTCGGTTACCCGATTCTGTGTAGATACCCTGTGAAGACTTGTTTAGTTCTGGTGTTTTTGTTTCATACATCTGACAAACAATGGTGAAATATGTCTTGTGAAAATTTCTAATGAAATATATTACTAAGTATACTGTTTTGTAGAACATTATTTACTTTGAAAGGAAACAATTTATTGTACATATAAGATGTGTGTGACATCATATTGATTTACTGTTGCCAATTAAGTAAGTAGCATTTGTTGAACGACAGGAGCCAAGATGATGAAACTCAAATACACCTATTGGAAGAATGCATTAAAATTAATGAATCCAAATTTATTAAAATATACAAGCCTAACATTTTCTATTGTAACCATAATTAAAAAAAACACAATAGTGTATTTTCAAAAAAATTAAAAAAAAAAGAGACTTGATAAATTTTATTATCATAAAGCCCTCACAAATAAAGATTTTTCTCTATCATGACTAGTTTTGGCTGTAACATTTACAACACGTGTCTTTTAATTGGCATGTACTAACAATATTAGTGATATAAAAGAATCTTTGATTGTGAGTGTTTATTAGTGTAATAAAGTTTATTTACTTTAAATAAAAGTTTTCTGAAGTTGTCTGTAAGCACCATCAGTAAATCATTACATTGTATGTTGTTTAAATAATATCACTGCTCATATTCACAGATGAGACATTTTGACAACCCAACAGACACACCAAACTCATTCTTTCAGGCTCTGGCATGAGTTACATGTCTCCATATCAGTGAAGAGCTCTAGGCCCCTGCCATCTTGGCTCAGTTAAATTTTCTGAATCAATTCAAGCCATATTATCCAAAGAATCTTGCCTGTAAACTTATAGATATTTCTACTAGTCATGGAGTATATAAGCTCTCGTCCCTTGGGATTATAATTATCCATGTCTTACTTCTCATGTGATTTCCCTTCTCATTAATTGTTTTTTTTTTCATTACTATTATTAAAAGCCACAGTACTATTGATTAGAATAGGGGCCCAAGATTTTTGAACTACACATGGGGCCACCTCGTACTGATAAATGCTGCTACTGCATTCAGGGTGAAACATTCATGTTTATCATGCCTCATTGAAAACCTTTTGTACTCTACTGCTGATATAATAAAAATGGCACCTTTCAAGCTTCACCTGTCTGCTTACGTTAGCATTGAGTGAAGGACAAATAAGCCAAGCAAGCTTCACCAGTCTGCTTACGTTGGCATTGAGTGAAGGACAAATAAGCCAAGCAAGCTTCACCTGTCTGCTTACGTTAGCATTGAGTGAAGGACAAATAAGCCAAGCAAGCTTCACCTGTCTGCTTACGTTAGCATTGAGTGAAGGACAAATAAGTCAAGCAAGCTTCGCCTGTCTGCTTACATTAGCGTTGAGTGAAGGACAAATAAGTCAAGCAAGCTTCGCCTGTCTGCTTACATTAGCGTTGAGCGAAGGACAGATAAGCGAAGCAAGCTTCGCCTGTCTGCTTACATTAGCATTGAGTGAAGGACAAATCAGCCAAGCAAGCTTCACCTGTCTGCTTACATTAGCGTTGAGTGAAGGACAAATCAGCCAAGCAAGCTTCACCTGTCTGCTTACGTTAGCGTTGAGTAAATTGTTTGAATAGTAGAAAAAAAGCATGTTTATCTTGTGATTTTTTAAAAGACCTAAGCTTAATTTTATATTTTCAACTTCTCTGTTTGTGTTCTTTTAATCAAAAGAACTTTATCTTTAAATCATACACACTAATATACACCTGGAAAAAAGTTAAGCACCCCCAAATATTTTTCAGGATTTCTTATTGAAAATAAGGTTT